GGCTGGGATGGGGGTTCCTTCTCAGGCTCAGCTGACGCAACAACAGAGAGGATAATATGCATGGAATAAACATCCACCAATCCACTCACACATCCATGCATCTGTCACCTATCAATCCATCCATCCTCAGCACCAAACATCCATACATATCTTTCTCCTTCAGTCAGTCCTTGCAGTCATTCAACCTGTCATCCATCCAGACACTTATCCTTTAAGCCTCCAAGAACCAGATGTCAGCCAACCATCCCACTATGCAGCCATCCATCGATCCATCTATCCACACATTCGCTCCATATAACCAGCCCTTCATCCTCCCATACAACCATGCCTCCATTCTGCCATCCAAACAACCATGCCACCTCTGAAACCACCATAAACTCATTCGTCCTCCATCCACTCAATTATCCCACCGTCTATCCATGCTTCCACTAATTCAGCGATTGATTCAACCAGCCGTACATCCAACCACCCATCCATCCTTCTATCCATTAAGCCATCAAGTCACAGGACACCCTTCCATACAACCATCTATCTATAGATTCATCCATTCAAATAATGAAATACCCTGCTGTCCAACCTTCTATCCATCCACCCAACCCCCCTGCCAGCCAGCCATGACTCTAATCTTGCAAGCTCCCATCCTTCCAACCCAGTCAGCACCCAAGAGATGTTCCCATTTCCCAAGAGGTCAAACACACCCAGGACAGACCCTGCCACAGCTTCTGACCCACGTCAACCCAGTTCCAAAGGAGACATAGATGGGGCTAACAGACGTACCCACCTGTGACAGCGTCAGCGGAGACGGGGCCCACACGCTTCTGACCCCACATCCCATACAGGTTGAACTTGTAGCGGCGCGATGGTGACAGACCCGGCACCGTCACCATGTGGGAATCACCGTCCACGGGCAGCACCTGGGGCTGGCCTTGCACATCCTTGTACTGCACCGTGAAAGAGTCAAAGGTGCCCTCGGGGACGCTCCACTCCAGCTGCACGGAGTCGGGGGTGACCTGCGAGGCTGCGAGCTCGCCCAGGATCGGCTGGGATGGGGGTTCCTCCTCTGGCTTGGTTGCAGCTGCAACAGTGAAGGCACAATGCAGAGTATAAACATCCATATGTCCCTCAGAACACTCATCCATCCATTTCTCCATCCATCCATTTTTCTACCCAACCATCCCTTTATCCATCCATCCACACACTCCAAAAATCACCCCTCCAAATATCAGTTCACCCAAGCATCCACCCACCTGTCCTTCCATCCACCCTTAACACTTCTACCCACCAGCCTTCCAGCCATCCACACATGCATTCTTTTCCTCATTAATGGTGGTTTTTGGTCACCATGTTGTCATCCATTCATTCATCCATGTCTTTGTCATTCCTTTCATCCACCCACCAATCCCGTTATCTGTCCATGCAACTTTCTCTCCCTCCATTTCTCCATCCAACCATCCAGGCTTCCATCCATCCAATCAACCATTTCTCTGTGCACTATTCCACCCATAGGTCCTTGAATCCATTCCTCTACCCAACCATCCCATCACCCAACTTCCATCAAAATACCCATCTATCCAGGCAACCATCTGTTCAATCAGCTATCCATCCAATCAATCTATTAACCAACCACCCACCATCATCCAGCCAGCCATCTGATCATCTACCCACCAATGAACCCAACCAACCATCCAAACACACATCCAGCTCTCCAGCTGTTTCTCCATGCATCCACCCAGGCCTCCATCCCTCCCATCACCCCCATTTTCTGTGAGCAATCTTCTATCCATCAGGGCATGCATTCAGTCAGCCAACCATTAACAGTGCCATTTCTCCCCCCACCAGTCTGTCCAGTTACCCCTCTGCTACTTAGCCATGCATTCATCCCTTCAACAATCTGTCTATCCATTCATGTGTCCATCTGTGTCCATTCATCCATCCATCCATCCGTCATCTTTTGGACCATTAATTCATGCACCTCTCCATCCATTCTTCTGTCTAGCTGTCCATGCAAGCATTTATCCATGCATCTCACCCACCACGCAGCCGTGCTTCGAAACATCTATCCAACCTCTCATCTTCCCATCCACCTTCTTCTATCCATCTGGCCAAGAATCCACCCATCCATCCAACACTGCATCCATTCAACCATTCAGTTATTCATCCATCCATCCATCATCCAACCATCCATCAATTCATGGATCCAACCATCCTTCTTTCCATCCATTCAAAAAAACAATCACCCAACCATCAGACACACATTCACCCCTCCACCCGCCTGTCTGTCCATCCACCCATCCAACCATCCATCCATCCATCCCTCTCTCTTGCTTGCTCCCATCCCTATGTTCATCCAACAGGCAATACTCAAGAAATGTCCCAACTGGACAAGCTCTGACCACACTCCAAACTCAGCGCCCAAAGGGAACATGGATGGAGCCCACAGACGCCCTCACCTGTGACAGCATCGGTGGAGATGGGGCCCACACGCTTCCGACCCCACATCCCATACAGGTTGAACTTGTAGCGGCGCGATGGTGACAGACCCGGCACCGTCACCATATGGGAATCACCATCCACAGGCAGCACCTGGGGCTGGCCTTGCGCATCCTTGTACTGCACCGTGAAGGAGTCAAAGGTGCCTTCAGGGACGCTCCACTCCAGCTGGATGGACTCAGGGGTGACCTGCGAGGCCGTCAGCTCGCCCAGGATTGGCTGGGATGGGGGTTCCTCCTTTGGTGGGGCCAGGGCTGCAACAGGGACAGCACAATGCAGGACATACTGGGGACAGACATCCCTCCATCTATCCATCCATCCATCTGCTTGCTCCTCCATCCATCTAATCACCCACCCATCACTCAACTCACCCAACCTTCCATCCGTTTCCCATTCCTCCAGCTGTTTGTCCGTCCATCCACTCATCCATCCAATTATTCCTTTGACAGGCAATTCAGGCAGCCATCCTGCTAGAAATCTGTCCTTCCATCCACCTAACCATCCATGTGTCCATCCACGTGTCTTCCTACCCATCCATGCTTCCTTCCATCCAGTCACCCATTATCTCACCATGACCCTTCAGCCTCACATTAGTTCATGGATCCATGAACCCAACTCTCCAAGCAGGCACCCATTCAGCTGTTCATTCATTAAACAGTCCGATTATTCACCTGACCACACATGCTTCCATCCATCCATGCTCCCATCCATTCATCTATCCAGCCACCAAACAGTCCACCCAATCATTTTTCCAGCCACCCATCCATCATTCATCCATCCAATCCCAACTATCCATCATCCATCCATCCATCCATCCAGGCATCTCCATCCATCCATCCATCTGCATCCATCCATCCATGCACCCATCCAATCCCAACCATCCATCCACCTACCCACCATCCAATCAAACACCCACACGCTCATCCAATCATCCACCCTTCCATACAAGCATCCCTCCATCCATCCCTCTGACCTTGCGTGCACCCATGCCCATCAACAAATCAAGGGCCGGATGGTCTTCCCATATCCCTCAAGGTCAAAGGACCTGCCAAGGCTCCTGACTTGCGCCAAACCCAGTGCCTGCAGAGGACATAGACAGGGCCCAGAGATGCCCTCACCTGTGACGGCATCGGTGGAGATAAGGCCAATGCGTTTCCGACCCCACACTCCATACAGGTTGAATTTGTAGAGGCGTGATGGTGACAGCCCTGGCACCGTCACTGTGCGGGACCCGCCATCGACTGCGAGTGCCTGAGGTTGGCCTTGCGCATCCCTGTACTGCACCGTGAAGGAGTCAAAGGTGCCCTCGAGGACGCTCCACTCCAGCTGGACAGAGCCAGGGGTGACATGGGAGACCGTGAGCCCGCCCAGGCGGGGCCGGAGCGGTGGTTCCTCTGACGGTGGGGCCGGCACTGCAATGGAGATGGCACAAAGCAGAACATGAAGATGCACCCACCCATGCATCCTTCTGCTGACCCTTCGGTCTATCCACCCACCTGTCTAATACGCACCCTTCAATCCAAGCACCCAACCACCCACCCATCCTCCCACCGATCCAACTGGGTGTCCACCCATTCATCCAATCATCCATTCATTCTGTTCTTTGTCCATTGTTCCATCCATCAGTCCATTTAACTGTTCACTCTTTCGTCCATTCAAGAATCCAGGCTTCCATCCATTCAGTGACCTGTTTTCCAATTCACTTTTCCTTACACCAATCTTTGAATCCACCTATCCACCCTCCCACCCATCCATCCAACCTTCCATCCATCCATCCACCTACCTATCTGTCCACCCACCTATCTATCCAACCTTCCAGCCATCAAACCATCATCCATCCACCCATTCATTCAACCATGCATCTTTCCATCCACCCAACCATCCATCCACCCACCTTATCTATCCAACCACGACCCATCCATCCTCCTACCCACCCACCTAACCATCCATCCAACCAACCACCACCCAGCCAGCCATCCAACCATCCATCTATCCACCCACCCACCCATCCTTCCCCAACTTGTCTACCAAGAGCAGTTGAGCCTGAACACCTGGGTCCCTCCCAGTGCTGCCATGGACCATCTGATGGTACCTGCTTTGGCTACGGCACCTTGGGGTTCAGTCAACTCTATCTCATACATGTGCTCCCAGTCCAGCGGGGGCTCATTGGTGCCACCTACCCCTGCACCCAAAAGAGAAGTGGGCAGTTATGGGATGTCCCTGTGCAATGTTGTCCCTGTCTCCATCCCCATCACCCACCTGCCGTCACCAGGAATGTGTAGGACTTGGAGACGTGCCCCCGCACCACGCCGTGCACCTCCACCCGGTACATGGCCCCCGGCACCAGCCCTGGCACCCGGGCCACCGCTGTGTCCCCCGGCACCTGTAACTCCCCCTCAGCCCCCTCCGGCTCTTCCAGGAGCCGGTAACGGATCACCACAGTCTCTGCGTGGCCCCGCAGCCCATCCAGGTCCACCAGAGCCTCACCAGCAGCCCCCGGCATCAACTGGGGCTTGGGGTGGGGGATCTGGCGGAGGAGCTGGTGACGCAATGGGGCTGGGCTGCGGCGCAGAAGGTAAGAGAGGATGGCACGGGCCACCGCCGGCACTGTTTGGTTGCCCCGGAGGGGGAATTTTGTAGCCCGGAGGTGGCTCTCCAGGCGCTGCAGCAAGGAGCCATTGTAGGAGGAGAGCTTGGCCCCCAGGTCATGCAGGGATGGGCCACCTGCGAGCACTGGGGACAGTGGGGATGCTGAGGACACCGGGGACCATGGAGATGGAGGTGATACAGGGGACTGTGGTGACGCTGGGGACCGTGGAGATGCAGGTGACCTTGGGAACACTGGAGATGCTGGAGCCTCTGGGGACCTTGGGGATGCAGGGGATCCTGGGGACCCTCGAGATACTGGGGATGCTGGAAATCTTGGAGATCCTGGGGATGCTGGTGTCCCCAAAGACCCTGTTGACCCCAAGGATGCATCTGGTGGCACTGATGATGCTGGTGATCCCAGGGACCCTGTTGACCCCGGGGATGCTGGGGACCTTGGGGATGCCGGAGACCCTCTGGCTGATGGTGACGCTGGGGCCACTGGTGATGCTGGGGACCCCAGGGAACCCTGAGGGGACCCTGGGGAGCCCCCATGGGTGGGTAGAGTCTGGGCAAGCACTGCGAGAGCAAAGGGGACCAGGGTCATCAACCCGTCCCCAAAACTCCCTGTCTGCCAGAGCCTGGGGACCCATGGGTGGACACGGGGATGGATGGACACAGGAAGGGACAGATGAACACATAGGGACAGACACCCATGGGGATAGACTGGGGAAACCCAGACTCATGGGAACAGACTGGGACAGATGGACTGACGGGGACAGACTGGGGACATCCAGACCCAGGCAACAGAGAGGCGCATAGGGAAGCACCAGGAAATGTGGGGACACGTGGGGCCATGGGGACACATGGGGACAGACGCAGATAGATGGGCCCGAGGGGACACATGGACCCACAGGGACAGACTGGTGACACAGACCCACCAGGACAGACAGACGCACGTGGACCAACAGAGCCATGGGGACACACAGGTATGTGGGGATGGACAGAGGCTGCAGGCACCGTCCTTGTCGCCATGTCCATCCCCGTCCTCATCCCCCTGCCAGTCCCTGTCACTATCCCTGTCCCCATCTCTGCCATCCCCATGCTTGTCATCGTCCTGTCCCTCTCCCCATGCCCATGCTGTCCTCATCCCGATGCTTGAATCATCCCTCTCCCCATGCCTGTCACCGTGCTGTTCCTGTCCACGTGCCATCCCCATCTCTAGGTTGACCCCATCTATGTGTTGTCCCTGTCACCATCCCCATGTTGTCCCTGTCACCATGCCTGTGCCCATGCTGTCCCCATCCTCATGCCATCCCCAAGCCCATGCCATCCCTGTCCCATGCCATCTCCATGGCTGTCCCCATCACTGTCCCCATCCCTGTGCTCATGTCATCCATGTCCCCAGCCTTTCCCCATCCCCATGCCATCCCTGTCCCCATGCTCAAGCTGTCCACATTGCTGTGCCCACACCCCTGACCATGCATCACCATCCCCAACCCCATCCCTGTGCCATCCCCATCCCTGTCCCCACGGTCATGTTGTCCCCATCCCTGTGCCCATGCCACCCCTGTCCCCATGCCATCACTGTCCCCATCCCCATCTCTGTCATCCCTGTCCACATGCCTGTGCCGTCCCTATCCCTGTCCCCTTCCCCATGCCATCCCCATCCCTGTTCCCACACTGTCCCCATGCCCGTGCCATCCCCATTGCTGTTCCCACACCCATGACCATGCCATCACCATCCCCTAACCCATCCATGTGCCATCCCCACCCCATCCCTGTGCCCACACCCATTGCCATCCTCATGTTGCTCCCATCCCTGTCCCCGTGCTGAGTGGGTGACACATACAGGTGCGGATGCGCAGGGTGCCGGGCGCCCCAAGGTGCTGCTCCCGCTGGGCCTGGATGAAGAGCTCGAAGGCATGGCCGGGTGCCAGCCCTGTCACCTCAAAGGCGACAGCGGAGCCGGGCAGCTCATGGGTCGTCATCGCTGCCGGCTCATCCTGGGGACAAGGGACAAGCCAAGGACACGCTGGGGACACCACAGTGGGACCTGGCCCCGAGTCAAGCAGCAGGCAGGTGGCCACAGCCAAGAGCCTCTTCCAGGGCTGGGGGACATGCTGGGAACACACTGGGGATGTGTTGGGGACAGCCAAGGAGGGACACACTGGGGACAGTGTGGTGAGGACACCTCCTCATCCCTGAGCCAGGCAGGAGGCAGGTGGCTGCAACCAATGGCTTGTCCTGGGGCTGGGGGACATATTAGGGACACCACGATGGGGATATGCCCTGGTCCCTAAGCAGGACCGCAGGCAAGTGGCTGCAGGCAGGTGGCTCATCCTGGGGACAGGAGACATGTTGGGGACACTGGGGACACCGTGCTGGGGACACATCCCTGTCCCCAAGCCAGGTAGCAGGAGGGTGGCCACAGCTGCTGGCTCATCCTGGGGACAAGGGACGCATTGGAGACACACTGGGGACACCACAGGGGGGACACTGTGGGGGAGACCCATCCCTAAGCCAGGCAGCAGATGGGTGACACCACCATGGCTCATCCTGGGGACAAGGAACACACTGGGGACATGTCCCCATCCTCGAGTTAGGCAGCAGGAGGTGGCCTGACCACTGGCTTGCTCTGGGGACAACAGGCACACTGGGGACACGGTGTCTCCCAGCAAGGCAGCAGTGAGTGGCTACGGATGCCACATCATCCTGGGGATGAAGGCCATGTTGGGGCCACATTGGGGCCAACACACTGGGGCCACTGCAGCGCTGGGGACCTGTTCCCACCCCTGTCCCCAGCTCACCAGTGGGATGAGGGCCACCTGGTAGCCATCCACTGGCACAGGGGGGCGGGGCCAGGTCACACGGAAGGACGTCTGGTTGCGGGTGGCCAAGCGCGGTGTCACCGAGGGGATCTCTGCAGGGACACAGCCCCATCAGCAGATGCCACCGTGGGGACACTCTGGGGTACCACAGGATGGGGCACCCATGGGATGGGGACACCCTGGGGACACCATGGGACTGGGACAGCTTGAGGACACCCTGGGGACACCACAGGATGGGGACATCCTGGGGACACCACAGGGACAGGGCATCCATGGAATGGGGACAATCTGGGGACATCACAGGACAGGGACACCCAAGACACAATGGGGACACCGTGGGATAGAACACCATGGAAGGGGGACACCCTGGTGATACCACCAGATGGGGCACCCATGGGATGGGGACACCCTGAGGACACCATGGGCCAGGGCCAATGGGATGGGGACACCCTGGGGATGCTACAGGATGGGGCACCCATGGGATGGTGACACCATGGGATGGGGACACCATGGGGACACCACGGGATGCGGACACCACAGGATGGGGACATGGAGGGGACACCCAAGGAACAAGGCCACCCGAGCCATGGGGACACCCAGATATGGAGCACCCACAGGACAGGGGCACCATGGGGACGCTCAGGGCCAGGGCACTGGGAGAGCACTGGAGGACACCGGGAGACACCGGAGGAAATGCCAAGGTGGCATCAGGGTCCACCATGGCTGGGGGACTGGAGGGGGGTGTCACTGGGATGGGAACACTGGGGGAGCACTGGGGGACACTGGGAGCAGTGGGGAGCACCAGGGAAGCACTGGGGACACTTGGGGATGTTTGGGGACAAGTGGGGATGTACTGAGGTGGCATCAGAGCCCACTACAGCCGGGGAGGTAGGGGGGGCCCTGGGAGCACTGGGATGGGGACGCTGCAGGGAGCACTGGGGACCCACGGGGACACTTGGGGACCCTTGGGGACCAGTGGTGACGTACCAAGGTGGCATCAGGGCTCACTACAGCTGGGGAGAGAGCCTGGGGGGCACTGGGAACACTGGGATGGGGACCCATGGGGAAACTCAGGGACCCTTGGGGACACTCAGGGACCAACCAAGGTGGCATCAGGGCTCACTACGGCCAAGGAGGGAGGTGG